CTCAAATATTCGCGTAGATCTAAGAAAGTATTAACACCTCCATGATAGCGTTTTATGTTTGTATACAATAAATACTACCAGTTCTCTTTTAATTTTCATACAAATACTTCAGAAATGAACCTACTTACCGAAAAATCAACAATAGTATTATTATGTCAAAATAAGCCCATTACCGTATATGTAGAAGTAGAATATTATATTATATGAGTTTACACTACTACACACTACTACAAATCCTCTTTATATCTTCACTTGAAATGCAATAATTTAGATAGATTTAGTTCAATGGCTTTTCATGTTTAGCGAAACCTCTAAACAATACAGAAACCCCGACCTTCTAAGTGTCACACAAAATTGTGAATTAAACTATGTACATAGAGAAACTAGAAAACTAAAATATATACAAAAAAGTATAAAAAGCAATATCAACAGTATCACTTTTCTTACTTCCAATCTAGGAAGATAACTTGAAAGAAGTCGTACAGTAAGTAAACTATAAAAATATCGTAAATGTAAGAGGGGAAAGGTAACCCAATACCTGACTAAAGTATATGTAAATAACAATTTAGTCGGTACCTGTCACATGTGTACATTTCCACGTTACGGCGGCCACATATTTGAAACTTGTATATTTACATTAGGAATACAAATCGAATAAATTTCATATTCTAAAAGAAAATAAAACGAACTCTGTTGACATTTGTCGCAAGAATCTCATGAGTGAATAGGAAATTGAAAAATGATGGTACGCGATCCACATATAATTTTATATTTAAAAATGCTATTGCGTACATCTGTTTTCCTTTATACTTAATAACAAATCTAAATTTTACTATTTGCTTAATATAACTCTACTAAATTATATCCTACATATAGAAATGAAGAATGGACTAACTAAGGGGGCAATGAAGATGACCCTTGGTGAACTAAGCTGGTTAAATTTTATACAAAAACCTCAACAAACAAACGAATAAATGAAAAACACGGCTTTAATTACATCCTACTTGACCAGGGTTTTACAAAAGGAACTCGTGTTCAGCGAAATTACTACAGTTGATATAATATTTTAAATCAACGCCACAACAACCACGACATAAATGAATTTGAAGCAAACTTTTATTTATAACTAGCGACTCACCCTCGCTCCACTCGGGTTCGACCCTAGTTACGTTTTAACGTTTAGTATAGATTTCTCAGAGATGAGATATTTTTCCGCAGTAAAAAGTATTCTATATATTGACCCGGATAACCAGCTATCGTCATACCAAATTTGATCAAAATCTGTCCAGTGGTTTTTTCGTGATGTGGTAACAGACAAACAGACAAACAGACAGACATACAGACAGACAGACAAAAATTCTAATAACTATAGATTCCGCCTCTGTATCGATTATAATACGTTTATACATTTTTATATCTATATCGATTTTAGAATGTTCAAATAACATTTTAGCAATATGTAGATATTTACATTTTTAAATTAAATAACAAAAATAAAATATTAAAATATGACAATCAGTTTCTACTCGTTTTAAAACAGAATAGCGTTAACTTCGAACCAATTTAAACACACAGTAGGTGCGGATTTCCAGCTGTGCACAGCGAGGCCTTTTAACGAAATAGTCTGCAAATCTCTCATTTTCTTGCACCTTGCTCACAGCTTTTACTTATTCATGCATGTAGGGACTACAGACGGTTGCTACGCCGGCTTTCTACGAATGTAAGCGAATTATTGTATTCTTTAACGAAACATAATTTCAGGTTACGTAGCAAATATTTTAGTAGGAAAATTATAGTAGATACATCTATACTAATATAATAAAGAGGTAAAGTTTGTGAGTATGTGACGTTGTAGAGGGTAATCTCTGGATCTACTGAACCGATTTAGATGTTTGGTAAGAAGATAGTTTGAGACCCTGGGAAGGACACAGGATAGTTTTTATCTCGGAAATCATTCCTTAAAGGGGTGAAAATGGGGATGAAATTTTGTATTGGGAAGCAAGGTAGGGATGAACCCGAGCGAATCGAGGGTGAGTCGCTAATATAGTATATTATGTAGCACAGCGATACAATAAGAGTTATTAATCAGTATCCATTTGTGAATTGGACCACAAAACCGAATTGTTTAGAGCAATTCTACAGTTCAACATCAGCGTAGATTTTATAAATCGGTACTAAATCAATTAATGTGGAAGTTCAAAATTGAGAAATAACTACTAGATAACTAAAATTATTAAACATTTTAGTATCATTTATTTCTAAAGTTATTCCTATAAAATCCTTTTACAAAATTATTACTTTTAAACTTCAAAGTCATTAAGTAATTGTTTATTTTATATGAGACCATCCTTGGTATATATATTTATAATATATAAAAAAGAAATGTAAAATGCATTCGCAGTAGAAGGCGATACTCCGTAACACAGAAAAATGAATAATGAAATCGAGAACATCTTCCTTTTTGAGGTGCGTTAAAATATGTATGTCTACTGTTTCAAAACCTAACCGTAAACCAAACCACAGCAGAAACCAGATTGCAGTCGAGAATATCAGTTTCGTAATACTTGGAAGGTTCTAAATTTACATATAAATTTTATGAAATGTTACGGTTATGTGCAACATATACTTTTCCTTGCACTTTAATATCTCTATAACAAATACGACATATATGCTAAAAAGAAAACTATTATATTTCATAAAGATAAATACGTATAATAAAATAGACCTAACCTAAATACAGCGTTACAGGGCAATTGTGTTGATATATTTAGAAGATTTAAAATGTAGGGACAGAATAAAAATAAAAACACACTAGGTTTTATTTACAAAGTAATTGTGAGATAAGAAGTGCCTATGGTCATCAGCTCCATGGCACCATATATGTATGTTACATTGTCACAGACACAACTACTAAAAAGTTATTTAAATGATAAATGTACGATACGAAGTAATTTAAATAAAAACTTATCTATTCGAATCTCACATATGCATATATGTGCATAGGATGAAATACAACTCAACTTATTAACAAAATAGACTTAGTAATGTAGTACAAAAGAAAAATAATAAATAATTTCTGCACCGAAATTTAGTTAACGTCGTCGAATCCCTCGTGCTGGAGGTAGCAACTTTTTGTATTATGCGACTATTTTAAGTTGGGCTTACACAGTGTCACAAGGGGACATTCAAAGTTTTCAAAGGCAATTTCACTAGTCTACCGAGCCCAAGCCTAATTAGGTAGTAGGGCCATTTCATTAAAGGTCTAATAAGCTTTACTGTACAATGACAAAAGGCTTAGAAATAAACTCAATGAATAAATGATTTAATGGACCTGCTGACCATCATTTTTAAAAACAAGACTTGCGAGAATCTGCTATAATTATGGATATAATGATAAATATGTGCATTATTTTAAGTTTATCGCTTAAATATATTATACTAAGGACTCACTTATTGTTTCGTTGTAGGGTGTAATCTCTGGATTTACTGAAACGAATTAGATGAAATTTGGTAAGAAGATAGTTTGAGACCCTAGGAAGGACATAGGATAGGTTTTATTCCGGAAATCACCCCTAAAGGGGTTGAAAGTGGGGATGAAAGTTTGTATGGGGAATCAACCTAGGGACGAACCTGAGGGAAGCGAGGGTGAGTTGCTAGTACAATATAAAGACATTTGTATAAGTCATTCATCTATAATTTTATTGAAATGAAAAATATCATCATCTTATTAAAATTAATAATATCAGAAAATCGTAAATAGTCGAGGAAAGTATTTATCATGTCAGCAGCTATCACAGACTGCTGATAAATATCAGAATTAATTCATGCTCTCAAAGTTAAATGGGATGGTAAAAGTTGATTTATTATTAACGAGGGATCTTATTGTTTAATATACGAATTATGTCCAAAGTACGGCAAGATATTTCAAGCTTATTTGAAAACGTATAGAAGGTCAGAGTTTGCTGAGTTATAATTAATTATTATTGTGTTAGTAGATAAAGCCTATTTTATTTTTTACTTTTGTACTTTATACTAGACACTAAGAAAGGAATTTTGAAATTTCATCCTCTAAAGGGATTAAATACAATATGAAAATTCAACATTCTTGAACTTATTGTTAATAATTGAAATTAACGACAAAACTTCTGATTTCATTGCTAGTGGGGAAATCCATTGGTAGTAGGTGGTGGTCTTTATTGTATAAGTACATACATAGAATGGCACAAACTATAAACAACAGATGAAAATACTCACAGCAAACAAAGAACCTATATTTGAGGATTCTGTTGGTTATAAGAAACACACTCTGCATGACTAACCGAAAGTAACTTTTAAGAAGATAAACTTGTCATATAGATACTAAAAAAGCTATTGACGAGGTAGGTATTAATAAAAATAAGAAAAAGCAGAATACTATTCCGTGGCACAAACACAAAGGCACCGTATCAGTCTGGCTCTGCTTGCTGCGCCAAAGGTCACGAGGGGTCGTGCCTCCAAGAAGCTAATGTTAAACTTGGTCTTCATTTTGATTAAAATAAAGCACAGCATTCAAAATTTGGTTTAAACATTTGATTTATTTATTATATTTTCTGTCTACTCTTTACTCGATACGCGCTTGATTTGTTCCGGCAATTTTGTTTCCTAGACACACCCTATATTGGATATCTTTGCTATAGCAGAATACACACCTTGGGAATCATCTGATCGGGAAATGACATCTTCACGTAGATTACCATGTGATATATTACTAAAATAGTTATTTCAATTCAATATACTTTTCAGTTTTCTATTAGTAGCAATAGAAATATGCCGTAATCACCTAAATATGCCGTATAATGCCAAGAGCTATCAATATCAAACATTTTTAGTTTCCTATTAGCGTTTGCAGAATGTTGTCTGTCTAAGCCGTACAAAATCTAGAGCTATTCATAATCATGGCATTATGGCTAAAATAACAAGTAACGTACCCGTGAATGTGGCGCTCGTAGTGCGAGCGGCTAAGTCGGGGCGGGCCGGCGCGCCGCCGCCCGCATGCTATCAGCTGGCCGGAGCGGCCATCTCGCCCTCGCGCGCCTCCACTCACCGCCCTGCGCCTGCGACATCATATTGATTTAATATATAGTTACAAGTTAGTAATTATTAAATTTATATATAAATCTTAAATATCCATATTTTTAGCTGTACATAAAATTAAAGCTTACTTTCATTATAAAACATACGGTCTGTCTAAATGTTAAACTAATAAAACTATTAACGAAAACACTATTACTGGTTAATAATAAATTTTGAAATATTAATTTAAATTATACTTTAGTATACATATATGTTGAAAGACAATCAAGAATAGCAATGCACTCCGCCACATAGTTTCGCTCTAAAACGAGAGCAGAGAGCCGCAATCGGATCGATATGTATTTATTATTACGATGTCGCTGTCTACAACGTATATGGAAAACTATAATTGATAGATTATAAAATCTTTTAAAAGTATACATACAATTTTTTTAATAATCCATCCACAACTACATTTTAATTTTATTGGCAAAGAAATTTTGAGAAGAGGTAGAGAATTCTTATACAATCAATTATCCTGTAGAATGCAATATAACTCCGCAGCACGAGTTTTCAACATAAGATAAAATGTTAACGAGGTAAATATTTTGTCACAGCAGAAGCATGCACGTTAAAAATATTTCAGTAACTCCACTTTACGGACAGAGCCAAAACCAACGTCCAATAACAGATTGTTTGTTCGAGCCGCACCAAATAATTTGTTTACAGTATTTTTTAAGTATCTATACCCTCTGTCTTTAACATAACTTTAACATATATTTTTAATACTTTTATTAGATGAGATCAGAAAACTATTTAAATATTCATAAGATAATGATATTAAGAAGGTGATTCGAAAATGAAAAGATGTATGTAACAAACACAAGGTAATCAAAGGTAATAAATTCATTTTATGCAATGAAAATCAACCCATTACTCATATTATAAGGCACAAAATAAGTAGTCTAATACATAATCAATTAAGCCGGTTCAAATGGATTACTATTAATTTATACAGGATAGAGCAAGGCTTCTTTGGTCATAATAAATATAAATACACGTATAATACATATTATTAATTGTATTTTGGCAAATAAACTAGCTTTACTACAAACTATTTTCACTCTGTACTGGGATCGAGCGACACCCAGTACATTTCTCAGTTATTTTATAAAAATCCACTTTAGATAATCATAAAAAAAATGGTCATAATGAGCTCCCTTCATTAAATACATCACATGATGCTTCATACTGTACGTCCGTTATTTGGTCAACTAACTTTATAATCAATACATTATCACGTGTGATCCCGCATAAATAAAAAAATCAACACCTAATAATTTTAAGTAATTTTGAAAATTGTGTCTTTTTTGTTAGATATTTAATCGGCTGCGATTTAGGATTGGGGACTCTGCCCCTAGCGGAGTGGGTGGTATTTCTGGATAAGGGACGTGATAGGGAGTCGAAATGTTAAATAAAAATTGTCCGCGAACGTATGAGTAAAAAGTTATTGAGACTTAAAGTTACAACATTTCCATACATTATTTTGACATTACTACCATTTAGACACTTGGAGTCAAAACGTCACTTTCAATTGTCAAAATAATCTCCAGATGATTGTCTTTATTTGTACTTTGCGTGAAATTCGAATTTTCTAGTTTTCTAGTCATTTATGGCACTCGCCGGCCGCTACCGCGGCACGCTCGCTTCGCTCGCTCGGCTCGTGCGTTGTGGCAACTGTTCTAACCTAACCTAACCAAGATATGAGGAATAATAAATAAATAATCTTAAATGTTCTAACCTAACCTAACCCAGATATGAGGAATAATAAATAAAGGCACAAATTCAGAATTGGGGACTTGGCCCCTAGCGGAGTGGGTGGTATTTCTGGATAAGGGACGTGATAGGGAGTCGAAATGTTAAATAAAAATTGTCCGCGAACGTATGAGTAAAAAGTTATTGAGACTTAAAGTTACAACATTTCCATACATTTTCATATATTTCTTTACCACCATTCGGAGTGGGTGGTATTTTTAGATAGGGTAGGTGACAGAGAGTCAAAATATATTAAAAATATTTGGAGGAAACTTACGAGTAAAAAGTTATTGAGACTTAAAGTTATAACATATCTAACACATTTCCATACATTTCTTTACCTAAATAAGTGATTACAACAGATAAACATACCTTTAACGAATAGTACGCATCCTTTTTTATGTACATTACACATTTTCACAACAATTAATGCTTTATTGTATTTAATATTTTAATAATTTCACAACACAAACAAAATGATCTTACATTTTGACAAAAGCAAAACTGACACTTTGTTTTATATTACCGCTTAAATGACAACAGATTATATTTGATTATTTTTGCTTTTTCTGTTGGTAAAATATTAATATTAATAAATAAATAAATAAAAAGAAAAATATTATTTTCATTTCATAAATACATTTATGATTTTTTATCTGATTTATTTAAAATATATTGTTTTACAATTGTACATTTAGTAAAAAAAAACATTTTTTTATCTGTGAATATTTTTCAGTATTATTGGCGGGTGTTCTTAAAATACCGCGAAGTTTCATAATTTGTGACTCTGTACTCTGTGTATTTTCCATTAGTTATTAGTTTTTGTTAATTTTTATATACTTTCGTTTCTTGTTTTTGTTTTAATATTATTTTTATAGTTTTAAGTGTTCATAGTGTTAGTGTAAACAATTTATAAACGTGAGTAGACTATTTTTAAAATCTAAATGTATTATTTACTTTTGGTTTTTATTTTACGACATCGTGGTTAGTTTAAGACATAGGTTATTTATTTATTATTCGTCATATCTTGGTTAGGTTAGGTTAGAACATTTAAGATTATTTATTTATTATTCCTCATATCTGGGTTAGGTTAGGTTAGAACATTTAAGATTATTTATTTATTATTCCTCATATCTTGGTTAGGTTAGGTTAGAACAGTTGCCACAACGCACGAGCCGAGCGAGCGAAGCGAGCGTGCCGCGGTAGCGGCCGGCGAGTGCCATAAATGACTAGAAAACTAGAAAATTCGAATTTCACGCAAAGTACAAATAAAGACAATCATCTGGAGATCATTTTGACAATTGAAAGTGACGTTTTGACTCCAAGTGTCTAAATGGTAGTAATGTCAAAATAATGTATGGAAATGTTGTAACTTTAAGTCTCAATAACTTTTTACTCATACGTTCGCGGACAATTTTTATTTAACATTTCGACTCCCTATCACGTCCCTTATCCAGAAATACCACCCACTCCGCTAGGGGCCAAGTCCCCAATTCTAAACGGCCGCCTAAATAAATAATCTTAAATGTTCTAACCTAACCTAACCCAGATATGAGGAATAATAAATAAATAATCTTAAATGTTCTAACCTAACCTAACCAAGATATGACGAATAATAAATAAATAACCTATGTCTTAAACTAACCACGATGTCGCAAAATAAAAACCAAAAGTAAATAATACATTTAGATTTTAAAAATAGTCTACTCACGTTTATAAATTGTTTACACTAACACTATGAACACTTAAAACTATAAAAATAATATTAAAACAAAAACAAGAAACGAAAGTATATAAAAATTAACAAAAACTAATAACTAATGGAAAATACACAGAGTACAGAGTCACAAATTATGAAACTTCGCGGTATTTTAAGAACACCCGCCAATAATACTGAAAAATATTCACAGATAAAAAAATGTTTTTTTTTTTTACTAAATGTACAATTGTAAAACAATATATTTTACATAAATCAGATAAAAAATCATAAATGTATTTATGAAATGAAAATAATATTTTTCTTTTTATTTATTTATTTATTAATATTAATATTTTACCAACAGAAAAAGCAAAAATAATCAAATATAATCTGTTGTCATTTAAGCGGTAATATAAAACAAAGTGTCAGTTTTGCTTTTGTCAAAATGTAAGATCGTTTTGTTTGTGTTGTGAAATTATTAAAATATTAAATACAATAAAGCATTAATTGTTGTGAAAATGTGTAATGTACATAAAAAAGGATGCGTACTATTCGTTAAAGGTATGTTTATCTGTTGTAATCACTTATTTAGGTAAAGAAATGTATGGAAATGTGTTAGATATGTTATAACTTGTAAGTCTCAATAACTTTTTACTCGTACGTTTCCTCCAAATATTTTTAATATATTTTGACTCTCTGTCACCTCCCCTATCTAAAAATACCACCCACTCCGAATGGTGGTAAAGAAATATATGAAAATGTATGGAAATGTTGTAACTTTAAGTCTCAATAACTTTTTACTCATACGTTCGCGGACAATTTTTATTTAACATTTCGACTCCCTATCACGTCCCTTATCCAGAAATACCACCCACTCCGCTAGGGGCAAAGTCCCCAATCCTGAATTTGTGCCATTTAATCATTTTAAGTTCAACATAAAACTTGATACTACACAATAAACATGACCTGGGCCAGTAGTGATTTTTTCACACAATCATGCATACAAATACTAATAAAGTGAGAATGAGATACAAACTCTTTGGAACCGAAAAAAAACTACTATAATAATTTTTAAATACAACTATCTTTTCGGATTTTTTCGCGGATTTATTTGGATTTTTGGTTACCAAATTTTTGGTTTGACGTTTCGAATGAGATTGAGGTGTTAGATGTCTCGAAAGTATAGTTGTTACAGACAGCCTACCCACAAATAACAAAATGAAAATTGCACCAATTACTTTACAATATTTTTTAACTTTAAACATTTTTATAATTTTAATTAGTTTTATAATTGAATATGGAATATTATTTATTTAATTTTTGCTGTTATTATTATAATTATTACAATTTTAAAAATATTAATTAGTAATATATATTTAGTGTTGCCATTATTATATTTATAACCATAAAGAAAAATATAAAATATAGTATTAATTATTTAAGCCATATAATTGTTCTATGTATAATTTGCTAAAGACATACTAAAGAAATACAAGAGACAAATTACTAAGGAACACTATTACTATA